CTCTTAGACTCACAGTGTCCAATACACATGCCAGTAGCTATATCCAGGTACCTAACACTGGAAATGTAGTGTTGGAGAAGAAAGCCCTTTTCTCTACTACTATATTCAGTTTAGTACCTGGGAGCCTGAAAGTTAAATAGGTAAAACCACTTTAATAGCAGGGGGGCACCCAGTCTTTATTAATATTTACTTGCTTAACTATTTCATTAAAAAAATTAAATTGGAGGAAGCATTTGGGTGTGGGGATTTACATATTATTTTTAACAAAGAAAAAGGAATTTTGGCTTCAAGGGATGTTAACTTAGAGGAGTTTACAAGAAATATATGGGAACTAATAAAAGATAAGGCTGATTAAATAAGGGCTGTTCAAACTTTTCTCAGAGCTGACTGCATATCTTCGATAAGACACAGTCTTTTCTTCCTGGTATTGGGAGGCGTAGAGGACCCAAACCTTCACAAGAGAAAATGAATCTTCTGTTTTTAGATCAATGAGGTGACTATTTCCTGCTGTATCTCAATGGCCTTTGGCTCAAAATAACCCTTATGCCAAAGTGACCTGTTTGGTAGTGGTGCAAACTGCTTCCTTCCAATGACAAGTCCAACTTAAGATGTGCTGTTAGCACAAAACATGAACATGATTGTGGTGGTGTGTGAATGAGATGTCCATCAATAGTTTTGGGCACTTAAACACTTGGTCCCAGTTTCTGGTGCTGTTTTGGAGAGGCTTAGGAGGTGTGGTCTTGATTGGAGGAAGAGTCACTGAGGACAGGCTTTGAGGTTTCAAAAGCCATGTGCCATTCCCAGTTTCAGTCTCTCCTCCAGTTTGTGGTTTGATACATGAGCTTTTAGCTGCTACTCCACCCGCCTGCTGCTTGCTACCTCTCTGCTGTCATGGACTCTCCAATCCTCTGGAACTGTAAGCCCAAATAAATTTTCTTTCTTCTCTAAGTTGCCTTGGTCATGATTTTTTTAAATCACGGCAATAGAAAAATAATTAATGTATTTATGAATACTTTGTTTGAAGGAAAAATGAATGCAAACTATCTCAGTTTTATATGATTATATGTAAAGTGTTACTTTTGATATACTGAGATAATTAAAACACCTCACTAAATTACTTTTATCTTTTCATGTGTTTCTATATATTTTATTTATTTTAAATTGCATTTTCTCTCTCTCTCTCTCTCTCTCTCTCTCTGTGTGTGTGTGTGTGTGTGTGTGTGTGTGTGTGTGTATGTGCATAATGTCATTTGTGGGAGTTTGAGTATAGTCTTTAGGAGTTGATTCTTTCCTTCAGCCTTGTATTTCGGGGAATGGGACTTAGGTCATCAAGCTTGGCAGCAAGTGCCTTTGTCCACTGTCCCATCTGGTCAACCCTTATTTCTAAGATAGCACTTAAGATGATACATAGTTCATTCAATTTTGCAAGCCCATATTATTTAGGACATTAAATAATAGCTGAGGAGTTGGGAGAGATGGCTAAGCACTTAAAAGAGACCATATTGCTTTGTGGGTAACCCTAGATAGATTCCCAGTACCCACCTTGCCACATTGGGTGGCTCACAACCTCACAACGTTAGCTCTAGGGAGATCCAGTATCTCTGGCATCTGTGGGAATCCGAACACACACACAATAAAAAAGTCTTTAAAAAGTAAGGAAGTAAATAAAAAATAAAATAATGACTGAGGTTGAGAATACATTTTGTTTTTAACAAAATGTTCCTTGTTGATAGGTTGATAACAGATATTGGCTAATTTGATGAAATTATGGTAATTTATACTGAGAAGTGATCTACCAAGAAAAATCTCCTTGGGCACTCAGACCAGCCAAGAACAGTTTTGTTTGTTGTGTTTGTTATTTTAAACTTTCAAGAATATATTGGTCAATTGCTTAGCACAGCACTTTCATATTCTCTTCAAAGACAGCCTCCGATTGTTTAGAATATAAGAAAGGGACAATCAATGAGCTTATATGAAAGAAATATGCTCAAATTCAACCAAAGGAGGATCTGATAAGATGGGATAGTAAACCAATCCCTCTTGTGACTGTTAGACCCCCGAAAACTCAAGTATCCAGGGTCTCAGGCCAGGTTCGCGGTCACCCCAATCACCAGGCGGATTCGAGAGCTTGCTGCAAACTGCACGAGGCTTTATTGTAATTTAACGAGCTAACCCCATGTTAGCTCGGGTCTTTCACCCACCC